ATAGCGCATGAATGACGCCCTCTTGCTAAATTGGAAACTTTTGAACCTTGACCGACGCTTCTATTTGTTACGCGTAAATCGCGGAGAACGCTATCTTGTGTTTATAAGATCTTTGATGTGTGCGTTTTCCGCCGGTGGTAGAATTTCATAAAATTGTTATTTATAAAGAAATATGTTAATATGAATACTATTTTAAGGAGGTTGGCACTTCCGATAAGTAAAGTATGCTGCTGGAAGCAGTCATGGTAATTTACGTGATTAATTTGTTAATTGTCGGGTCTTCCTAGGCTAGGCCCTAGGCTTATGCTCAAAATGTCTAGGTAGGCCCTAGCCTAGCAATAGGCAGGCTCAGTCCGTTGAATCGTCTTTATTTGGGCCCGATTTTCCGTCACCAGCTAAGCCTAGACGCGCTTAAATGCCTAGCTAGGTCCAGGCCTTCATATTAGTTAATGTGAATCGTCTTGAGGTTTCTGACTGCTCTGTACTTAAAGTCGGGCTTATGCATGCCCTGGCTGGATGGCCATAAACTAGAGAGTTAAGGACAGATTCGATTGGGTCATTTTATTCTCAAAATAATAACTAGCATCTAGGCTATTCAGTGGGGGAGGGGGGGGGGGGGTTTCCCCCCCCCCATTCGAAAACTTCGAAGCAATAAAAATTAGGCAAGGCTTATGCTAGAAAAAATGAGTTAATGCTTTTCTCAACTTCCCTTTATTCAACTTCCCTTTTTTTCCCTTTTATTCTTAAATACTGTGTTCAAGAGATATACTTTAACATATCTGTCACGGTTAACATGTATTCGGGAATCTAAGAAGCAATATTTTTCAGAGGACGTGGCCACCGAAAAAAAATTCCACTCCCCCTCATATTTTGGTCGCGCCCCCCCACCCCCATTTTAATACTGCTAGATACGCCACTAGATACGCCACTGAGGCTATTCACACTTGCCAATGCCCTAACTAATACAAAATAGGTCTGACCCAACATCTCCCATCCCAATTTACCAAGCGCTTACAGATGCCATAATCAATTTTCATTTTAAAATCGATTGATTTATTACATTTGAAAATTAATAGGGTCGAGGGAGCTACATACAGCCAGCTTTTAAGCAATCACAGGCAGCAAGTTTTCAACCAAAAGAGATTGTTAAGCGAAGAATCATTTGAAAGTGAATTGGAAGAGGTAACCTGTTTCATGCTATAATAAGTAGAAATATATTTTTAAATAAATATGTTTAGATACTGATTGATATATATTATTGCACTAGCTTTTGCAAGCAGGTATTTAAAAAATGTGTTTTATTTTAGGGCACATAGAATAATTTATTAGATTATCACTCTTTAAAAAAAAAGTAATGAGGGCGGTCAGGTTTTTTTTTTTTTCGGTTGGAACAATAGAATATTTCATTTTTGTTTTTATTGATGAGGGAGGGACTGTTTTTATTTGGCAAGAATTTTGTAAATATTGTATAAAAACTGGTTTAATTTTATTGTTTTTTAAAGAAAATGTCTTTGCAGTCATAAAATTGCATTGTTTTTTTAAGCTGTTAAAAAAAAATTGTGCGGCAAGAATAATCTAACAATTTTTTCTACATGCCCTTAGCTTGAGAAATTGATTTTTTTTTTCTCCTTAGAAATTGTTAATATACAGTACTTCTAATTCCAATGTTGTTATTGATTGTTACATGCAATTCAACTCTTTGCAGCTCAAATACCAGCAACTTCCTGAGCAGGAATTACCAGAACCGTCATCATCAAACGTCCACCCAATTATGAATTTTGCAGTTGTGGGATATGATTGTACAGTTGTTGAACATTATGCACAGTATGTGCACAACTTGGCAAACCACATGGGCATCGATGTCTTTGACATGTAAGGTTTTTTAACTCATGGTAGTACAGTACCGTAAATGTTATAAGTCTCCCTCGAAATAAGCATACCTTCCAACCCTCCCAATTTAATTCAATCTCCCGGTCTTCCGCATATTGTCAAATTTTCCCGAATTTTCAGAATACAACCGCTAAATACCAAAAAAAAAATTTAGTGGCATTTTGGTACCAATGATTGAGTATTTCTGTGTCAATTTTTCCTTGAAACGATATTGGCATACCAAGACTTCCCAAGTGTTGCTCACAACTTGAAAGATCAGAATGCATGTATGAAAAAAACTTACATTTTCAACATTGCTGTGGTGAGGGTACACGTCACCAGACAGTACATCTGTAATGTCCAGTCTCCTGAATTTTGAGTTCCAAAGGTTGGAACCTCTGGATATGTGCTGTCTGAATTAACGCCATATCACACATAATCATTTTGGCTGAGAACCACTCTTAAATGTGTGGCACAGTGTTTATTAGTGATATATACTATTTTCAATAAACGTCACAGCACGTAATCAAGATTAACTTCATAAGCATACTTTGATCTTACATATCTTTTAAATTTAGAGCACTAAGGAAATAGAATTTTACCTTTGATTCAAAATATCTTAATAATATAATATTATAAAAAAAAGTGTATTTTGTATGTTGTAATTTTAAGTTTACATTGTTATTTGTGGCATGCTTTTAGGCATGCACTACCAGGCAAAACAACATTGATCCACACTAAAAGAAAACAAGGAATTTCTGACAACCTCAAACCAAAAGATTTTCAACTGAAAGAACATGAGCGAATCATACAGGTTGGTTATATCCTCAGTGTCTGTGTTAGTTTACTTCAGTG